ATTAATTATTAAGTACTAATTAATTTAATCTGAGGTGTAATGCTGTATTTTAAAAGATACACTAAAATATAATTTCTTCCTTAAATTGAAGATGTATTTTTACCTACAATGTTTTGCCACATTTAAGTCTTCAAGACAAACCCGTAACAAAGTTAAAAATTCGCAACTTAAAAGCGATGCTTAATTTACATTTTTCTGCTAAACTTTTATTTCCGTCCAAAGAAATAAATAAAGAGAACTGCAAAGTTAAACAAGCCAGCCTTAACAACGCGAGGCTAAATCCGATTTGCCAGCATTTGAATTTAGAATAAGACAGAATTTAAAATACATCCACCTTCATGCACCTTTGAGTGCTTTGTGCGATTGGATGTTTAAATTATGTGCATTTATTATCTTTTTATTCCTTTTTAAACATTGCCTGAAAAAATACAGTTTAATAAAGCCTAAATTGGTATTTAATATTCCCTTTGTCCATTCTAGCATAAATGATATTAGTAATTATTCTAGCATTTTGTTTGGTATTTCCAGCTAATGGTAAAGTTATAATGTTATTAAAAAAATAAAACTAAATCAGTGGCGCTACAACCTTTTTAGGTCTGGGCCTCAGATTTCTGAATCTGTTTTATGACCATTTGTCTGTCTAATAGGCAAGTAGGTGATCAGCCTCCTGTGCCTGACACACGCCATCGACTTTTTGGGTCTAGGGCAAGCCTGTTTTCTCACGATGTTTTCCTTCACCGTTCGAGCGATTATTAAATACGCACATAGAAAGAAAGTCCATTGGTGCACAGCCGGGGATCGAAGCTACGACCTCAGGGATGAGAGTCGCACGCTGACGCCCACACTTCAATTAGATAGCTATATGTTGCAGGTATAAAATGTTAACGAATAGATTACTTCAGTGTGAACCGATGGCCATATGTCATAAAAATTAAGAGAAATGAGACCGTAAGAAACCGGATAAAGAGGTCGTTAACTACAGACATTACATTTCGTTTTTGAGTACAATTAGACAATAATTAATCGACGAACATTAGAAAAATATTTAACTTGTAATGTAAGATTTTGTATGAGTGTTTAAATATCTTCCAAAATTTAAGACAATCTTGTAATGAAAGGTAAAATCTTTTAATTAGTACTTTGAATCTCTAAATGAGTTTCTAAAGATTTCATAAAGAAGTTGAATGTGTTAGCGAAAAGACTGGATTGCCCTTACATAGATAATTGTAATGGATTGCATGTACATAGATGGTAGGGACACCGTAGGAACAAACTTAGTTAATTATTATATTATTAAAAGATACTTATGAAATAAATAACAGGATATTACTTGAAAAATAATCAATCAAAAATGAATGTTGATAAGTTACTGACGTTAAACAAGCGCAAGTAATTTAAAAGCATCAGGTGGACTGGACCTTGTTAGACCTTTCAAAAAATTTGAATAAAGACCGCCAACCCTTTCCAACCCTCAATCCATTTACCTTTATTGAAATCCATTTTCTTTATTTACGTACTCTATTGACTAGTAACAAAATTTATACACTACCCGGTGAACTTTGTATGACCATATATGTGTGTGTTAATTCAACATTTTTAAAACCGAGCAAAGAACCAACCAAGTGACATTTTTTATTTCTAAAAAGACAAAAGACAATTCAATTGTCGTTTTTAGTATTTTTCTTTACTTCTTTGTCAAAACCTTCCCTGAACTTCCACAAACATTTTTTCATTCAAAATCATAATTAGTCAAATCGGTCCATCCATTCTCGAGTTAGGGATCCCACACAAAACTGCGATGCGATGCGATGCGAATTAGTGCGTCAAACCGTTTGGTAGGGCGACCATTCCTTCGAAGCCAGCCGTACTGAACGTGTTTTTAAGAAGCGTAAGATGGATCGCAAAAAGATTATTGCACTGCTGTTATTGTTAAATAGATATAAAAGAAAAAGAAGATTCTGGGTTCATTCATTCTTCATTGGTTCTCTGATGGGAACTATTTTATTCAAAAGTACTATGCGTTGAGAACTGAAGATAAATTTTTTGATTATTTTAGAATGAGCATATCTTCATTTGAAGAGCTTTTGAGTATATTATCACCATGCCTTCAAAAACGATCGTACAAGGGAAGAATTCCTGTTATGCCTTTGGAAATGCTGGGACTGACTATCAGGTAAAGTAAAACAAAATGTATTTATTGTCATTTTAATTGTTTGTCTCAGAGCGGACTAAAATGGTGTCACCAAGGATGACGTAAAATCGCAGGAATGTGCGATGCGAAGCAGATCGGAAATTCTTGCGTTGCGTTCGTGCGAATTCGCAGATATTTGCGATGCGATGCGAATTCGCAGTTTTGTGTGGGAGCCCTTATAGAGACAATTGAACAGCATTTCACTTATATTAGGTACTAGTTTATAGATAACTTATACTCTTATGGTCGTTAAAAAGATCTTCTTAATTTAATCTGTAAATAAAAGCTTATGTCGACAACGTACTCGCGAACGTTGACAGCTTGACAGTTGCCCCCGATCTGTGAAACATTGAAAATTTATCAGTATAGAACCTCAAAGTTAATATGTACCAAGATATGTAAATGGCAAAGAAGAAAATCATAATCTAATTACTACGTGAAGAATTATCTACACTTTACACTTTTTTTTAAAAGGTTTTATTTAGCTTGCCCTGTTTGGGTCAAATCGTGTAATTCAAACAGATCTTCCTGATCTAAAATTCGTTAGTTCTGACGACAATATCATTTTATACATTCGGTGTCATAGTGATAAGATGACCGCCGCTACAAATTGGCAGTTTTATTTTTCTTTTCAGAACCTCTTCAATATGGATATCAAATTAGGTCTTGACTAGTAAAATAGATTACTATGAAAAAAAAAAATCCAATATGGCCGCCAACAAAATGGCAGGTGATAATAGAATACTGTAATATGCTTTGCCAAATTTAAAATATATTTTTTTTAATTTATTTATCAAAACATGGACAAACACTTACAACAACATCAAAAACGCCAAACTGTATAACAGTTTGTTGGCGATTGCGATCATATAAGTGACTAGTTATTTTGCTAACAAATTGTCAGAAATAAACCTTATGATAATGAGGCACCATATGAGTTAAAATGAATTAGTATCATGTAACAAACTTAAAAACTATATTTTAAGATTTAAAGAATATTTTTTAAGCTATCATAAGTAAATTATCTACGTTTACCTTAAAAAATACTCATATTTATTTATAAGCCAACGTCTTATTTGTAATATTGGGATTTTTGGTGCAAATTGAGCCTACGTCAGTATCATCATAATTGGAAAGGATATTCCTCTAATTTCCCAAAAAATGTGTGTATAAAATCATAGTATAATTATAACCTTTCAGGCCATTAATGTTACAACCCTCGATCTGTCAAACTTTATAAAGCAAACGCCCAACAATACCGAATACACCACAAGGCTCGGTAATCGGAAATTCGTCTTTTATGTGTACGAAAAGCGATACAGGTGCTCCAGTTACCATGCTTCTTGGAAAATTATCAAGATACGAAAATCTTAAATCAAACAAATTAATTGTTTTATATTTATTTGTGGAATTATACGGGTCACTCTTAGAGTCTTCAATTAAATATTCAAAGTTACACAAATTATAGGAATACTAGTCTATTCAGATACAACCGACAACCAACAGTCTAACCGAATAAATGAAATTTTCAACTTTATTTTATTCGGTTAGACTAGAAAAGTTGTTATATATATTTTAGTACAGATTAATAATTTTTGTATAACTTTCAGAACACTGAGCGTGTCTATTGTGTAGGTATATAACCTATTGATAAAACATTAATTATATGGCAAGATATTTATTATGTGAGTGCACACTTTAGTTTTACATAATTTATTATAAAACTTTAGCGTACAACTGGAAGTACATGTTTTATACTCTTAAGTTCGATTGACATTTTAGTTAACTTAGGTGATAACATTATTTTTTATATTAAAACATTAGCTAATCAAATCTAACAAGACCCTATAGAAAGCTAGTTAGAACAATAAATTGCAAATCAGTGAGATCATTTTCTACATAATCTATAAAATTTTAACCTATCAAAAACTTGGTCACCATAAATATGATCAGTATAATGTCTCAACAAATAGCGGCCGTTCAGTTCCCGTACAAAGCTCCAATTCAAACATTCTCTGCCGCGTCACCTCTATAACCGATTACGTTTTCTTCAATACATTACATTCAACTGTAATAAGGGGACATGTACGAATGATAAACTAAATATAATTAGTACTAAACACATTTTGTAGATAAAATAAGTATATAATTTATAGATTGTAGTACATGCTGTACTCTACACTGATTGAAGTTGAATTATCATGTTGCTTTTCCCTTTCGAGACTAGATTTTTGTCTATGTCTATATATGATTGTCTATGAGTAAATTGCTATCTCAGACTACTTTAATAAACAGGTATTTCTTGCGGATTTTACAATAATATTATTAGAACACTACAGTTAGACACTAGATGCAATATTAAGATTTTCTTTATTGAAGTATGATAAATCATTTGTTAGAATAATCCAATAGTGGTTGAGGCCAATTTATCAATTATTTCCAAAAAATAAAAAATACAAAACACTCTTTTCGTTCGTCAAACACAAGTTGCGGACGGCTGTTCCACCAATTGAAATTGTCCAGATTAAATTTTCACTTCTCCTAAAGCAACGTTTTCGTACCTCCGTGTTATTCAAAAAATAGTCAAATCACGTCGATTAGCGTCCGTGCTGTATAAGCGTTATTGTTGTCACCACAAAAGCTGCCCCAACTCAACACCAAGTACCGACAAAACCCGCCCTATTTAAGGCTTACTTCATAATAATCCACCACAGTTAACTCGGGAAATTTGCATGAAAAACTTGTTTTCCATGTGTATCATTCTTTAATTTTTAAAAATACCATTTTTAATGTTAAAAATAAGTGTAAAATGAATCAAACCGAACCTCTAGACCTATCAAAAAAGAAATCAAGTGTGCAAATTGTCGACTACAGATTTCTATGCGGCCTAAATGATCACCTACTGAAACTTTATGAACGGACTAATACGGTTGAGAAATCGTGCCTCAAAGTTACTAAAAGTGTATTGCCGTGTGAAGTATGTTTGAAGACGTTTGATCGACCTTCTCTTTTGAAGCGGCATATGAGGACTCATACAGGTATGGGGAAACAACTTTTCCAAGTAAATATATGCGACGTAACATTTCGTCTGCGTTTTATATCAAAATTAGACACCGAAAAGGAGCTGTCAATAATATAATCAGAACAGACCAGAAATTATTATGAACTTCGTAATCGCAACTACAAAATAAATTGTACAAGAGATGACGCGGGTCAGCGGGCTGCGCTTATAAATATCATGAAGATATTTCCGGAGTCTGATGATGAAGATGTCGCCCGGGCCCGGCGCGAGACGCCAGGTCTACCAAACTTAGTTTAAGTAAATAAAGTCCATTTTTAGGAAAGGGGAGATTAGACAGTCACCTGCTGCTCAGCTTCTTGGCTACAGATCTACGTGATCGCGTGGTTAATTGGCTATTAATGGTTCTATATAAAAATAGTTGTATCCTTATTTTCTATGAAACTGTAAACTTTGTGATAACTATAATGCTTGTCTGCTTCGTAGTCTTCACTACTGTAGGTCGAGCCTGTCTTGTAAAGCCTTAACCGGTGTCTCAGGGCATTAGGAATGTTGAGAGCTATAATGGTTTTAATTTGGACAGGACAATGGGTAGGCGATCGACTCCGACTTCTACTACCATCATCATTACCATTACCAGTTTGTCAGACTATCCATTTCTCTAATGGCAATGCTAGACTAGTTCATCTATTATATCTCTTACGTTTTTATGTTAAATAAAATGTATTTGCAGGCGAAAAACCCCACGTTTGCAACATATGCGGAAAAGGCTTCAGTACATCCAGTTCACTGAACACGCACCGCAGGATACATACAGGTATATATCGAATTTGCCTACATAATTTTACCAGGCGCCAACAATTTGTTCGCTTTGCAAATATTAAATGTCTTTATCAATAGATTTTATTAATCGAAGCATTGTATAGTTTTTTATGTATTAATTTTGCCTAAAATAAGTAATTTATTTTTATTTTTAAAGAAAAGGGGACTATTTTCTGCTAGAAAATTTAATTTAATTTAATTTTTCTTACAATACGGTGATACCTAAGTTTTTAGCATTGATAGTAACTGAATATATAAAATTTAGGTTTAAACTCTATAAATAAAACTGTTGTTTTTATATATTATTCGTCTATAAAGTGCAGTGTTGGCCTAGTGGGTTCAGCGGTCGAACGTTCGATCCCCGGCTGTGCACCAAATGGACTTTCTTTCTATGTGCGCATTTAACATTCGCTCGAACGGTGAAGGAAAACATCGTGAGGAGACCTGCTTGCCTATTAGATTAACAAATGATCATGAAACAGATACAGAAATCTGAGGTCCAGACCTAAAAATGTTGTAGCGCCACTGTTTTTTTTTATTCGTCTATAAAGTGCAAGTTATTGTAAGTAATGGAAGAAATAGCTTTTTTAAGAAGCAATACTACTTTTCTAAGAACAATACTTTTTTCTATTTATAAATTTGTTTTTTCTTTAGGAGAGAAGCCACACAAATGTCCGGAATGCGGAAAATGTTTCACCGCAAGCTCCAATCTCTATTATCATCGGATGACACACACGAAGGTAAAAATATATAAGATTATCATACGTAGGTCTTACATTAAACCAACCCAGAAACCAGAACCTACCGCACGGGGATTTAACGCAGGTGTTATGTAACATCCTAATAAAAAAATCACTAAGGAGCAGAATAAGTTCAAGGTGAATTTCATGTGGCTTAGAAATTTGTTTAGAATATTAATTAATTTATCGAAAGCTAAGATTCAATTTGTTTTTGTAGATTTTATGTACCTAAGGTGCGAGTAATAGTGCGGATTTATTTAACGTTACTTTTAATATGACTTTGTTCCAGAACAAGCCCCACAAATGTGGAGTATGTCCACGTTCCTTCCCAACGCCAGGAGAGCTACGGTCTCATCTATCCTGCCATAGACAAATCGGTCAACCTGTCGACGAACAAGTCGGCACACGGATTTGGCCTTTTATTTCTTCGTTCAAGAATTCTAATTATTTATAATCCTTGATGCTAGATTGGACGATCTATATCGACCTATAGGCCTAACTATTAAAAATAGGTTTAAAAAATTTCTAATTTCATTAAATTTAAAGGTCATGCAAGATACAAATTAAATTACTAAGTTAATATAAAGAAATCTTGATGGAATTATTTCCTTTAACAATTAACTATCCTAAGCGCTAGTTCGCAGATTGATATTACATTAAATTATATTTGGTTTTGATAAAAATGATTAGCGCAACGACAGGGTTCCCGAAAATCGTGTATTCGAAGGTTGTGTATATGTCGCAGCCAACTAGCTTAATAAGCCGATCAATTAACAGCCTGCCTTTTAACTAAAGGGCGCTGTTTATTAAACAATGCTTTGAAATGGATAAGTGAATTTGAAAACAAAATTATATTTCAAAGTCAATTATTATTGTTTATTCATATTAAGTTTTTATTTATTGGTTTCTTCATGGATTAATGTCGCGTAATAAGCGTTTTGAACCATAATGTCAATATTCGATTCGATTCGACACTTTGTTATTTAATTTGTAACGATTGTTTATTATAGTTTGTAAGCATTCGCGTTGTTTTAGAACGAACAAATTAATCAATGATTTGTTGAAAATTTTGTAAATCTTATATGTATTTAACTGTCGTCGATTAATCGAATAAATACGGAAAATGATTTATCAAACTAAAAACTTCAAATATTTGTCAACATTAATTACCTATATTATATATACTTCATCCAAAAATACAAGGATGTCTCAAATACCTGTGAACCGATTGGGATGAGCATGAACTGTTCCCCAAGTTGGAAAATACCTCGATATGAATTTCCGAGAAAACTGCTACTCTTACGAAACCTCAATAGATCATCAATTCTTATCTAATTCCCAGAATATAAGGTAACATATAGGGCAAAATGACGAGCACATTTTTTGAAGTCGGTTAAACGTTCCATGTGCTTATAGGAGTTAAGGATAAATGAATATATGTATCGGGAAATTGTAAAATAACATAAACATACAGCTGTTTTAATAATCATAACAATTATAATTTCGCTTTTTTAACATCTTCATCGTCACTTCCTTCACGTTTCCTCTTCTCCGCGCCGACTCCATCTTCATTAACGTCACTCTCGTCAGCAACGTCACTAATGTCATTCGCGTCTTTTTTGACACTGTCAGATTTGTGGTAGTCGTTTTGCTGGGCCTGAGTCTCCGACGAGGTGTCGACGCGGAGCAGCTCTCGCAGGGCCATGGTGGCGTAGCAGCTGGTCGGCAGCGTCATGTCCACGAGGAGCGCTTTGTATTTGCCATCTGGAATTTTATATTTCATTATTAAAAAATGATCGTTTCTCGTCTTTTAATTCAAGTACGTCCAATTCTCACGAAGCAGCTATTTTTACTAGGAATCGATCTTAGACTTTTTTTTAACTTATTCTTCTTTTGGCGCGTTACGGATAAATGATGAGAGTAATTTTTACGATACGCGAGCACACCGTCACAAAAAACCGACACCCTTAAGTTAGCATAGTCAACATTTTAAACTAAAAAATGTCAATTTTTTTAATTGTGAAGAAATATTATTTTTGTGATATTCAAATAAATTTTATTTAACTAGATAATGAATTATACTTTAATATTAATAATTATAATAATTGAATTAACTTTCAATGTATTAAATACCTTTTTTCTATTGTTAATGTTGTTTTTTCTAAAAACGTAGAATAAGGCGAAAGATAAAAATTTTAAACACAGCCGAGTCTACGGGACGCCCAAAAACGGCAGTCATCGCATCCCATGGTCACTTTAAGAGACCGGCCTTTGAGAGAGTATACTCATTCTTTAAACAACTGGAAGTCGCATCTCCCAGAGAAGACCCCCACAGGGAGTCTATTCCACTGCTCGCTAGTTCTAGCCATCAAGATGATGCTGATGAAATTTTCTAGTGTTCGTTATGCCATGGAAGTGGGCATACAATTGTTTTTCTTTTAATTACTAATGTGTACAGTTACAATTTACGTTTAGTATAAGATCTATCTATCAACTGCTTTCATTCAATGCATAAATTGAATTGTTCGACAAAAGTGTTATCTTAAAATAATAATCCCCAAATACCTCGCCTCGATATATGCTAAACATGTAAAAAGGCACACGATTGTCAGTCACAAGGGTAAGGAGAAATTAGTGTGGGACCAATAGGAGGTCAGAATGATAATATAACAAATACTTTGCCTATAAATAGTTCACAATACGCACAAACACTCACTTATAAAACTGTGTTATCAAGTTCTTTTTATGTAAGAGAAAGCTGGAGGCTCATCTGATGTTAAGAGATGCCGCCCATGAACACTCACATAGCCAGAGGGCTCGTTTTTTAAAGGACCTTAAGTCGAATTGGTTCGCAAATACTTCTGTGTACAGCTGGTTCCACATAATAATAAAATAGAGGACGGGACTAATAAATAGAATGGGCAAAAATTTAATCAAATGTATGTATATATGTTCTATTATATATACATTTAAACCATTAGTGGAGTAGAAATTAGTGAACGAACCGTGGACGTGCGCGGGCGCAGGGCGTCCCTTCAGGAGGTCCAGGTCGGAGAGCAAGAGGTCCTCGAGAGGCTCAGAGTACCTGAGGCTGCGCCAGCTCACCTCCTTCGCTCGCACCACCGCGTTGCGATATCCGCCGCACACGCTGTACGACCTGGATTCGTTTATTTCCATATTGTCAAATAAATAGCATTTAATAATTAACACAACACAACCAAATTAGGTCCATATATTATTTATGCCATCTTTTTATTATATTTAATTTAAATTAGTCGCAAGAGTATTAAATAAATAAAGTTCTGCAACGTCAACCCATAGATGGCGCTTTTCGCAACATTTCCCAAAATAGAGAATACTTCTCTCAAACCCTATCAATAAAGAAAGAACTCACTTATTGCTATTCTTCATCTCCAGGTCGAGGCCGTCGGCCTTCAGCAGCTCCTCGTAGTAATCCTTCATGTTCGGCGAATACACCACACTATGTCCCGGAAGCGGCAGAACTATGTCGAATATACTATATTTTCCACTGTCTTTGTCTTCTTGAGTTAGAATCTTCACTTTCGACAATTTTTTCGGTGCATCTTGTTTTGTTTGTTTTTCTTCGCTTTCCTCCTCCGGGGCCTCGTCTTCTATTTCTAACGGCTCTGTAATGTTAACGATACGATGTCGTTATTTAGGTACAGATAAATCGTGCATTTATTGAATCTTAGTCATGTGTTCCATTCCCTACAAAAAAATATATTTACAGTTGGATGGTAAATACAGAGTAAATCCCATGTAAAGTACCCCGATTTACCGACAAACATCCTATTCAAATTCAAATTAAAACATCATTTAATCATATAGGTAACCCAATGTAGGTACACTTATGATCGTAAAAAAAAGAAATGTATATGAAATGCTTCTAACTTTACATTTAGTGCCAGTTTTCAAATCAAGGGCGTAGAACGGAAGAGAAGAACTGGCAATAAACTCTCTGCCACTCTTTTTAATCACCATGTTTTTTTTACACGTTTGTAAGGAGCTGCAACCATTACACCATGTTCCACATGACTTCTTAAGTAATAAATAATAATAAAATAACTTAAAAACAAAGACTTGTCCTCTATCAACAGGAGGCATGGTGAATTAGGAGCACTCACTTACATTCTCTTGGAAATAACACGCAAGCATCGAAATCACTCGGCTTTGGTTGGTTTAGCTTTTCTTCCATACAATGAAACATTCTACATAGCACTACATCCACTCTCAATAACGACAATTAAATAATAAAAAGTACTCTTAAGTTGCCGAAATTAGTTAAAACTGCGGAGCTGTGTACGTTCTTTTGTCGCTTTATTGTCCTAGCCGTAATAAACTCGACACATCAGACGTGCCGAACTTTTTAAGAAATCCGTTCTTTTTTTTATAAATTGGGAAAGGATGAGCGTGCTTCATCACGAAGATGCCTCAATATCGTAAGATATGAATAAAAAAATACAACACAATTAATTTACTAACACCAATCTGAAATAAACGTTTTCTTTTTCTAATACAGATTTTCTTGTTGCTATTTAACGACAACTCTTTGTGACGTCAAAATAAGCTCAGTCCCTTGAGTGTCGTTATTTAAACTAATTATACTTTTTGAAACTTAAAAATATTGTTAAATCGAACCTGCCATTTACGTGCGTGTCACAAATTAGATATCTTCGTTGAAAAGTGGTATAACCAAATACTAAATCAATCTGACCTTCCTCCACGCTGTCCTCGGAGACGAGATCCCCAACCTGGGGCGTGGGACCGAGAGTCTGCAATCTCCGCGAAACCACTTTGTTCCAGATCAGAGATTGGTACGAGTGCACGTAGAGCAGACGCGTGTTCCGCGGAACCTGAGAGCCACGAGAATTGCGCTTAAATAATTCATTAAGTACTAGCCTCACATTACAGTCACTTATCTAATTAGACTGAAGAGAAAAAGCGTTTACAATTACTGTTTAAGTGTTTAGACATTCTTAAGGACGATACAATAACCGCACATTACGACGGTAATGTTGACAAATGTCTAAAACCTAATAATGTATTACCACTCTTTATTTGTTTTTAAACTGTCGCATTTTTATGATTATTAGGTAAAATTACAATCTAAACTAAAAGTACCTTTATGGCTGTCGCTCTCTATTTTAGGGGAAGTGGGTTTCACAAGTGGGTTGGTAAACAAGTATTACTGACATTTGGCACAAAATAATTTCCGTGAAATAAAGACATCCTCTTGTTTTTGAAGTGAAACTTCTTCAGGCGCATGAGGGTAAATTTTTTAAAAAACGTCACGAAGGTGAAGAAAAGGGAAGGAGCGATTGAGACCGATTGAAAGAGAGTGAGAAAGGTGAATTACCTTAAAGAAAATCTAAAATTTCGTAAAGAAAATGAAGTATTTTATATTTTATGGAAAATAATTTATTGAATGACGAATTGTAAATTAAAATGCCAAGTGTTTTGATTATCGAAGAAATAAATCAGTAAATTTAATTTATAATTAGTATTACTTTTCGACAATTAAATTCATTAAATTCCTAACATTTTTTTCCCTCCCTCTAAGTCTCGGAAATCTAGTTTTAGATTTGTATAAGTAAATATGAACAAGAGTTAAAAATTAGTTTGCCAAAGAAGTTTCACTTATGACATGTACTTTGTACGCACGCACTAATTGTTTTTATAATAAAACGTTTTGCAAAAATTCTGAAAAAATTACAATTCTAGGATACAATCTAGTACCCAAGGAAGTGAAAATGAGAAAAAAATAAAACAGTCGTATATATTTACATATTATTTATGAAAATAGGTTCCACCTTATCCAACGCTTTGGCGAAATCCTTCGGGTGATGAGCCAGCTCCGCGATGAGCCTCCCCTCGGCCACCGCGTGGTCCAGGCGATAGGGCAGCTTGGACGCCGCCGCCTTGGCCCCCCACGTCTCGTACTGCACGAGGGCCTCTTCCAGGGGCCCGGGCCGGGGCTTCAGGATGCAATTGACAGCCTATATTTCATTTAGAAGATTTCAAGGCTTTAAAGATACTTTAGAAGATTCCGATAGTGGAGCGGAGAATTGAAAAAGAGTAGCAAAAAGTGAAGCTTAAAATAATTCATTTCTAAGAAAAAAAGGATTATGTTTTCTTGAACAATGGTGTAATCAGAATGTCAATGAGACACGTAAGTTAAAAAACGTTCCGTTTTTATTCGACGTCATATTTGCTGCGCAGTTGCTACTAAAATATGTTTAGGCGCTGCACAATCAATATGTATATGTCATTTACAATTTTTTTTTTGTATAATTTACTATTAAGTTATGAAACAGCTGGGAACCTTTGCTTGGTTCCCAAATCTGACACTTGAAAAACATTTTTATTTATTTTTTATATATTTTGGGGAGCTTGGTCTTGGCCTCAGATTTCTAGATTCTCTTTCCCGGACGGAGATCAACATACATCATCAATTCATAAATTTTATGATTAATCAGAAGATGAGATTTCAATAAGATTCCTTATATAATATAAGGAAAAACGAGTTTGTTACCGCTTCTAAGTTATTCTTAAGCAGATGCAACCCGATCTGCCAGGTGGGCACGCTGATGCGGGATCCGAACCGTTGCAGGCCGTAGTAGTTGATGAAGCCGTTCTCTCTCAGCAGGGAGCAGCACTTGTCTATGACCTCGTCCGATGCTGTTACGTTGCGCAAACATATTCGGAACCTGGTATTTCAAATTATTTCATTATTAGGTATACACAGAAAGTGTGGCACTCGGGGACTGCCGCGGTAAAGCTATTGCATAGCATTTTTTATCAACTTATGCAATTATAATTATTTATTAATTTATTATGTATGCAGTATTTTTTTTCATTGATTCACTCTACCACTCTACCAGACTAACACGCCTTTATAGTTTGTCTCGCTCTAACGCGTACCGGCTGCATCGGCCGCGCTTACGCTACGTCACCGATCTCGTCAGACCGATGTGAGACGCAGTATGCGTTCTGTCCCGGTCTAACGCGTATTGGCCATTGTGTTAGGTTTTTATTTTCGTTACGGAATTTCTTGATTCGGTCGCCGCGCTCGAATGCCCGCGGTAAAATCTATGCGATAGCTTAAAAATACTTTTATCATCACGTGTATAGTAAAGCCTTTCATTTAATGCATTTTTATACATACAAACCATTTTTTATAGTAATGAAAACTCAATATATTAAATGTTAAGAAATGACAATCCTGAAATTTGGTACAGTTATGTTATTAAAACCCCTCACCTATTGCCCTTCAGCATGCCCAGCCTGAGATGCACATCGCTGAAGGTGAAGTTCCCCACGGTGATGTCCTGTAGGGAGCGACAGGCCGCCGCCACCTTCCGAGGATCCACCTTCCGCAGGCTGAACCACTGCGAGGTCTTCGCTCGGCGGTCCTTCGTGCCCGCGTACCCGATAACGCCCGTCTTTGCGCTGGAACTGAAATATATAATTATTTGGGCAACCCAACCAAAAGATTTACACTGTAGAACAATTTCCCAACGTGGGGCCTACGCCCCACAAGGGGGCAATTTGATTGTTAAGGGTAACCCGCTTTAAAAATTTATTAAAATTATTTGGAATTTGAATATGAGCTTTACTTAATATGTTTGTTAACAACTTGCCAGTGATTTCTTCCTAAACCTATCATTAAAGTTTCTTAAGTGCACAATTAAAATTTTTAATCTTCATAATTATGTATGTTACATAGAGGGGCATAAGAATTTTAGAAAGACTAAGGTGGGTCTTGGCGCAAAAAACGTTGGGAAAGTGCTGTAGAATATACCTTAATAAAACAATTACCCTTTTAATAAATAATTAAATAGTGTAATTATTAATATTAATTACACTATTTTAGCTAATCCATCTTTTTCCATCACAGTATAAACAATATTTTACAGAAAGAGATAAAGTACTTTATAATACAATACTTGGCGATTAAAAAGAGTGGCGGAAAGTTTCTTGCCAAACTCAAAATATCTTTATTCATGTAGATAAACAAGTACACTTATGAATTGTCAGAAAGAAGTTAAATTAATTGTAAATTTACATTTACTACCAGTTCGCAAGTCGAGGGCGTGGAGAGATTATCATTATTATTTATTTTCTTATTAATAACTTAAAACGCAACACAGGTATTTAAATCTAAAAAGTATTGGTAAACATACTTCAATCTTAGACTCTTGATAATGCGAGAGGCAGCCTCCATTGTGTCACAGTTTTCTTTGTAAACTATGAACTGTACATATTCTCCCGGCCACAACCATTTAACACGATTGTCAATACGAACTGAAATTGTAAATTAAACTTGAATTTGATTATAAACTAAATACATACATTTAAACGTGATTTTACATATTAGGCATTGGTTGAGTTTTTTTTTTTAAGACAATGTATGTGAAGTATGTTTATGACACTCACATACCTGCTTTATTTAAGCTCTTGAAACAACATAAAATTTTGTTGGAAGGCACTAAATGATCATTATTTTAAATATAACAGATTAGACATTATGTTTGCGACCGTGAGCAACCAACCAGCTAAAAGAAACTGTAAATAAACATTACTATGTAGTAGGCTGTAGGAATAACTAAATATTTCATTTTTGAAATCAAAATTAGATCTCAAAATAAATTCCTCCAAGGGTCACACTATATTATACTGTTATCATTATAAACAGAACAAACCTCCTTTCCTATATTTTTCAAAGGTGCAATACTTCTTATCATCCTCAGTCACAGTGCTGCCCACTATGCTGTCCCCAAATGCCTTTTTCACAGCATCATGTATCTTTGTGCGTTCCTCCTTAGACTTGCCTGTTACATCTACCTGGATTAATCAAAACAAATAAAATAAATTTACCACCGATATGATCATCAGTTAATTTTTACCAGCAATCATGCTTAATAATTAATACTTATATGGACATTTCCCTTCCAACTCATATAAATTTGACAACACAGACAGGATTATGTATATTTCAGAGAACCTAAACTTACTTTTACTGTTTCAAAAACTGGTCCATTGCTTAGTGTCAGATCATTGATCTTGTCCCAAGTTTCCATAGGCAAAATTTCCAAATTATACTTGTTAAGAAGCAGATCCTCATCCTCCACCACTTGTCCATCATCAGGTGGCTCCGGAACTGAGGTATCTGTCAATTTTGCTATTTCCCCTTTTTCATTAATTTCTGAAACTTGGAAATCTGAAAATCTATAAATAATTCAAGTTCATTAATACACAATTCAATATTATTTAAACAATTATAATACAGACTGCAAAGTTAGAATTAATGTTTAAATTATTGTGAACATACTGTCAGGAACTGTATATTTGCTTATTATGATAGAAAGTGAGTTAAAGAACTCTACAAGTTGATGGTTGGTCATGAGTGTCTCAATAGTAGTATTCACATTACCATCAGATTATACTTGCAATTAAAAGAAAAACTCCCACCTAGATTTAATGATCCCATTGAATCCCTCATGTTTGCTTATATATTCAGTCACACCTATGTCTTTTTCAGTCAGTACTTTAGCCGGCGTATCTCGCTTCCAACTTCTTGTATTAGTATCATAACTGCGACTGTTGTCAGCAAAACTACGACCATATGGTCTCCGGCTACCTCTAAAACCTCTATATGGTCCTCGACCTCTAGGTTTTCTGTAATAACTACCCTGAAAGCCCCTTGACGACATCGTGAATATTTAACCTAAATTTTACCTATGTCAGCTAGTTTTTGTAAATATTTCTTTTATACATCAGTACTCTGTTACATTCTAGTTAAAAAATTTAACTTTTCATTAACTTAAAAAATATTTTTTTGAAGTAAGTAAAGTTTGGTTAATATTGAATTTTTTAATTTATATCTGAATCTTGACAATTGGCTTGATAAAGTTTAATTTTATAGGATTTGTACATATGCCAACTTGGGGGATTTCTCCCAAATTTAGGGGGAATCAATTTAACCTGGAGGGTTATCAGAGGATACATTTATTAAGGAGGTACTTTAAAGAAGAATTTTTATTCTTAATAAACGGACGATTCTATAAGTTAATATATAATATTCTATAAATAAACGGACAATTTATATTATAAAGTCTAGAGCCCAGCAACAAAGTAAACCGAACATAAACTGAAAGCGTGGCTAAAATTGGAATATCAAAAAACTATAATTTTCCAAGATCTAAATTTTATATATTTTTTGACTACTTCAATGTATTTTTTATATATACCTATATTTGAATTTACTTCACAATCCTAGTGTACAACAAAAACTTAAAGGGTTTTTAATCTATATTGGTTCTAGGGGGAACATTCTGTAGGAGTTGGCATCACTGGAGAAAGGATCTCTTCTCACAGCTATGGTACTTCTACCCGTGTGGTGCAGGCTTATAGAATAGCACCACCCGATCTCTACCCGTGTGGTGCAGGCTTATAGAATAGCACCACCCGATCTCTACCCATGGGGCGTGGGTATCGCAAAACTTAAAAGGCGTCTAAGGATTATAACTACCCCTTGCCCTTGGGGTGAGTAGACTGGGTCACACGAGGAGGCATGAGAGCCGAGACGATCGGGGAAATACCTCTTTTCCACTGAAACTAAGTGGTAATTAAGTGGCCCACGCGTGTCACGTTTCATTTAGTGTGTGTGGGACTCCCGGAAGCACACCCCCTTCCTCTCCGAATCATGGCAGCATTATTAAATATAACCCAACCTAACCCCCCAGGACCAGGAGGCAAAGCAAGAAATAAACACACGGCAACACAATTGAACACAGATTTTACAAATATTAGGAGCTTCACTCTAACAGTCTAATATAAATCTCGTGACGAGATTCGAGATTCTCGTCCATTTCACCTTCAGACGGCGCGGAGTCGGGTGTAGCCGGCCTTACTCTAACGGAGACCAAGATACTTCGCTTCCTTCTTTAAGCTGGAGTAGTGCGTGCAAAGGCTCTTTATGGGTGTCCGATATGGGCAGATAAGTTATCATCTTCAAACAAAGCTATACGTTGGCTTTGAGAGACAGGAGTGGCGAGTTGACCCACTCATGAAGGTAGTCATAATCAAGGTCTGGAAGGAAGATTATAATCGCGTAATTTTGCAAGAATAGAGGGACGAGTTAAGTGAATGTCGGTTTGGTCTACAAACCCTTGATGTTATTCGTCCCTTTTTAAAACACTGGGTGGATCGGCGGTGGAGATCGCTTTCCTATTTGCCCATTCAGCTTGTCTCTAAGACGTACCTGCATCAAATCGTTGGAAGAGAGACGACACCCGCGTATCATCATTGTGACTTTACAGAGGATACGCTTAGAGGAGGAGGATTTCGCATGGTCCTTTCTGATAGTATTGTCGGTAATCTCTCCTTCCACTAATAATTCAAAGAATGGTGGAAGCTGACAAAGATGGTCCCTGGAATGTCTTTTAAGGCTTTTTGTCAGGCCGTCATGACTCAAAACGAGAATGCGAAAACGATTCAGACGCTCCGCCGGAAAAGAAGCGACGAACCGGGGCAGCTACTGTGGGGTGCTGGTGCAGAGGTTCAATCCATATTTGTACTGCAGAAGGGGGCTGTTCGGGTTATTTGTTGTGTTTCCCCAAGGGAGTCGGTGCCGAATAAGTTTAAGAAATTAAATATGACACTATTTACTTAGTCAAATATATTCTTGAAGCCTTGTTATATGTACAAAAATATATATAGGTACGATTTTAAAACAAATGGTGACTTTCACCAGTACCTATTATAGGTACTCGAAACAGAACTAATTTAAGCGTACGACCAACCAGGCTCCAGAAGACCAACCAGGCTCCAGAAGACTCCTTATATGGAAATTGTATTCGTTTTTACAACAAACTCCCAAGCGAAATTAGATAATTATCACTAAATAAATTCAAGCTCTCGTAAAATGTAAATTAATCCATAAAGCTTTTATAAATTTGACGAATATTTTAATGATCCTAATCATTGGAATTGATTTGCTTCAGTTCAAACAATTTGTATGACTCAAAACTTAAATTAAAAAGGGTAGCGGAAAGTTTCTTGCCAGTGGTATTAATTGTAAATTTAGAATTAATTTAACTTCTTTTCTGACGTTCATAAATGTACTTGTTAATCTATATGAATAAAGATATTTAAAAAAAATTACTTGAAATGAATGAATTAGGGATGTGACATTCTGCATAAAAAATCGATTTTTTATTAATCGATTAATTTTTTTAGCATGAATAATCGATTAATAAATAATGATTTTTCTTAAAAAAAAATATTTTTTTTATTAAATTTTTCCTAATTTTTGAATTAATTTCAAAATAAACACCCTAAATATTTTATTTTTCATAGTTTTTTAAATTTAAAATAAACAATAGAAATTATAAACACAAATTAACCTTTAAGAATAATCTAAATTAACCTAATCTCGTTTTGATAGGTTTTAGGTGAAATTTGATAGATGGAGTGTTGTCTTTTTTATTGTATGTAACCTTGTGCTTCTGAATAAATTTATTTTACTTTTAAATTATAGTGTTCCATTCAAACTTGAGTTTTTGTAAAATTAACTGCTTTTATCATCCTTTTGATGTTTTACAAAAAAACATCAATGTATCGAGTATATCAATACATCTTCCTAGAATCGGATTCAATGTATGATTGTAAACATCGTTGTGTATCGAAACCCTATAGTTCGAGGTGGGTTATAAAAGACCAGACATAATGTGGAGGTGGCAGATAAAAAATCGATTATGATTGATTTTCAAATATAAAAATAATCGATTATTTTAAATATAACAATCGCGTAAAAAAATCGATTTTTACTGTTAAAAAAATCGATTATTATTTTTTCGCATCCCTAGAATGAATTGACTTGACTTGACGCCGTGTTCCACTTCCAGTTGTGTATCGAATATCCCTATTAGTTCGAGGTCCGGGTTATAAAAGACCAGACATAATGTCGGGAGGTGGCAGATAAAAAATCGATTATGATTGATTTTCAAATATAAAAATAATCGATTATTTTAAATATAACAATCGCGTAAAAAAATCGATTTTTACTGTTAAAAAAATCGATTAAAATCGATTTTTTTAATAATCAATTATTTTTTCGCATCCCTAGAATGAATTGACTTGACTTGACGCCGTGCTTTTCCACGTCTCTCCTAACAAAAGGTTTTGAAGATTTGTGGGTTTGGTGGGGATAAGGATAGGGCTCAACTGTTACCTGCCTCCGCCCATTGGCGAGCTGAAGGCATCCTTCGTTCAGGTTTTAGTGAGAAGGGTTGTAAATTGAGTCCCACATAATTATATCCCCCTTGGTGCTTTAGCAAACTGCATTTCCTGACGTTAAAAAATTGTCGAAAGAAGTCCAATTCCGCAGTCATCTGAAAGAAAAAAGCCAAACTAGCTTCTGAAAAGCTGGATGTTTTGGGTATGGCTTAGCAGTATTGCTTTAGGAAACTAGGGAACTGTGGTATCGAACATCGTTCCCTAGGAGATACGACCGCAAAAAAAGAGCAAACTCCTCTCTCAGACTGCGATGACTGATCGTTTTAGGCGTGTGCTCGCTTGCCCCCTATCTTATAAAAAAATGTGAACGATGAATAGAGATGACATTGCAGACTAATGAAATTTATTTCATTGTTTCGCCGCGGGACGTTGGTGGTTGCCTGGAGGATGAAGCGGGACATTGCGTACGCGTCGTGTTGAATGAATGACCTCGATACTTGATGATTTTATTAAACGTGAATAAGCTAATGGCTATTGTAAAAGTTATATGCCTTTTTCGTGCTAATATATGTTTTAAGTCTTTGGCCTTTTCCCAGAAATTAAACGCATTTTCAAAGTTGTTTGATGTCCCATAATACACAGACTAGTCTAGAAGACTTCTGCGCTTCAAGGTCATGTGGAACATACTGTAAATAGAACCTTAAGACTAAACTTTCTCTAACATTTGGTCAATGTAAATTTAATTGAAAGACGAAACCAGTCTTGTAAATGACATGTAATTTAAATACTGTAAACAAGAGATCCAATATTTGTTCATAGTCATCATGCACTTTAAGAAACATAGTCCAACTTGAAATTAACTATACAACACTAAGTAACTGCTGTGAAGATCTATAGAATTGTAAAATATTAAGTTTATTGCATAACATATTGCCAATATATTATACCAAAAGTTAATTAAAACTTAATTACAAAACATGAAACTCAAAATCCAGCACTAACTTATACAGTACATATGAATATCCTCCCTCAACATGACATTATTGCCAAAAACGAACTGCCTTATGCTTAACATGGTAATGTTCGATTTAATTATGCAGCATTTTAAATTTGAAAGTAAAAACACTTTGATAGGGACAATACTTTGTTATAATAAGTTTTTAGGTTCAGTTATTGCACTTCGGGTGACTTAAATAAGTTCAAATTAAAAATAATAACAATTGGTATAATATCCTTCCTAAATCTAGCAAAGCTAATTATAAAATAATGTATTACATTCTCAAACCATCGATATACATCAATATAAGGAACAATAATAATAATTTGATACTGCTATGGCTAATACAGCTATTTACTTAAAACATTTAAAACTATTAAAATAAATTCTAAACATTAATTACATATTTGTCAAAAAATATACAGTATCTTATAAATGCAATTAATATAAAGCAAATTTTTCAATACAATAATTATAAAAATGCTTAAAATAAAAATGTTAAGATGCACTTCCGTTAAAAACGATGTAAGGTAGACTTAGGTTTGATTACCCTTTTTTAATTTAATACTGATACAGATTCAATTAGTATACTTCTGTTTTGGAATCCCATGAGTAAAAACACAGTCTTGGTTCAAACAAACTCGTAAGAAATGTTCCATTTTTTAAGTATGAAGCCAATTCAATTTATTGTAATTTAGAACAGATCATAGAAAAACATTAGATTCACTGGGCCACTCACAACCATCAGAGATATTTAGAAATACAAATCAAATACTTCATATGTAAGTAACGACACAATGTCATTCCGGTAAAATTTCCTTTAACCTTCATATAAAAATCTAAAACACCAAATAATTAAGAGTCAGTAAAAATGTTCTAATTTCACAGGCTAATTCTAATAGCACGTCAATTATTCGTTGAACCTACCTACTCTACACCACCTACAATTACAAGAGGTATAAAAGACAGTATCGATGACAATAAACACAAGGTTAAGCATCCTTTGGCAGTGATGGGGACTAACATACGGGTTTCTAATATACTATGGTTTAACATATTAACGTATATTTCTACAGTTTAACCGCCATATCGAGTTTAATGTTAAGTTGTAAATATACAGCCAATAAGTAGGGCTGTACAAGTGATAATTTTGTTTTTAATTTGGGAAAATTTTCTTTACATTTAAAAAAGAAACAATTTAAGTTGTACATAGATTAAAACCATGCACCATGTAGAGTTAAACACTTGGATAAATGTGTAATACATTAAATACAAATTTAGAATTAACATGAGCAAGTATTATTATAAGGCTTTGTTTATATCATCACCACATTTATTACTTTTGTATAGGGTTTTTTTCAGCAAACAAACAATTTGTAATATTACCATAATTTAAAAAAATGGATTCGAAATCTTCAAGGTGATTATAGAAACAAGGCGACGTCACGTAACAACGATTAATATTTAAAATTGGCAACAATGAAAATATAGCAATGTATAAATTTATCAATAGCAACATCATTGGGCCCAAATGCTCGGTCAAACACACAATATATCTATACACAACCCCTTTTACACAAGCATGCAAAAAAAACTCGCAAACACAAGAATAATATATACACACTCCATTTCACAAAGGTACCACAACACTGTAACTTTTGTGCCGATTAGGTTCTTGAGATTTCACTGACATATTGTCTTTATGTAATTTAGGGTAAGAGATCAGATTTGGAACTACTCCTGTATTTTATCCAAGAAACTGTACTAGACCTAAACATATAAATTGTCAACATACAAGCAATTATTTAAATACCAACTGCCATATAAAAGTTGTTGTAAAAAGCTTTATGTACTAAATGAGCGAGCTCTTGATTTATTATCACAAATTTTATTATCAGTCGAATGCAGAACTAGCTTCTGCATTGGATCTATAATTACGTTAGAATCGTCTTCTTTACTTCTGTCTTTTATACTCTCAGAGTCCTCACTATCGTTACTTTTGTTGTTGAAAACTGGGAAGAAGTCATAATGTGTTTTTCCATTGCTCCATGTATTTTCTTTTGATTTAGCTTTTTTCCTTTCTTCTGCTTTCATTGACGACATGCTTCTTTTTGAAAATTCATCCCAACTTTGTGATGTATTACTGTTTACTGAATTGCAGTCTTTTCTAAATGAGCTCGAGGGATTTGTATCATTTGATGTTATTTTTTGTTGTATTTCATTAATTTGATTGTGATTTTCTCTGCTGGAAACTATTTGTCCATATTTTGATGTACAGTATGTTGTATCAGCATCCGTGTTTGCACACCTGTTGTCTTTGCTTGGACTATTTTGATTCAGTTGGCAATTGTTCATTCCAGAATCAAATTCAGACTTTTGACCGGCATTCATAAGTATTTGTTTAGAAGACTTAACATTTTTCTTGTCAAAAGCTTGACTCTTGTTGGGAGAGTTACCATCACAATCTTTATCATGTTTGCTGTTATTCCTTTCATCATCATTAACATCATCATTGCCAATACCATCAATATCATAAACCTGGAATTTATAATACATATTTGAATAAGTTAAACCAAAATTTATATACAATAACTAAATATTTAACTCTAGGTATAAGATATTGTCTACGAGGAAAAAAAAAAGTTATATTTAAGCAGAATGAGGTTGTTAAATCAATGCTAACCTTATACATAACATCTTGAGACAATCCTTTTTCTCGTTCTCTCTTATTCTGTACAGCAAGCCACACATCCTTCAGCTCTCCAGCAAGATCCCTGTCTTTCATTATAAGTGGATTTCTTGCTAGCACTAATCCTGGATTCATCGCTTCCACAAAGTCACAAAGGAGACTCACTAATGCATCTCGATCCTGATATGTGTAAATTCAATAATAATTGATTTATTAATACACACACAACAATACTATAGTAATTTGATTGAATAAAAAAAATATGAGATTTTTTGTAAATTACACTTACACTCGGATTTGAAGCATTTTTTCCATTAGCCTTTAAAATTTCTGGATTAACCATCACAGCAAACACCAAAAGCGGCGGTCTGCTACTATTTGGACCCAGAGCATGATGCACCTGTCATAAACAAGTGCAAACATATTTGTTTAAATATTTAATTATGGTTCTACTACATTAGACAGTGAATATATAAATAGAATATGCATCCGAGATAGAACAATACAACACATTACAAGAACGAATTCGTCAATCAAAACAATCAGTTCATAATATGCAATTAGCACAAAGAAATATCGAGGTATATATTCTTTTGATTCCCCTACCTGCATTCCGCCGTACAAAGGTATAGGATCAGAATATTGCTTCGGATTTGCAATTTTCTGCCATCCCAAAACATTGATGAACAGCTTTTCAGTAGAATCTTTTATTGTATCTTGTATACACATATGAGGCTGCGGTGGATTTTTAAATTGACGAAAAGCTCGTGAAATGCGTACATGTTGTATCGGGGCTGTGCGTTCGGGAGAATTTGGGTTTTCCATAGCAGGAGCTTCTATTTTGTCAAATACATTAAATAAAACTCACAAAGCACTCGTAGTTAATTAAAAAAACACTGAAAATTGAACTGAAGCTGTGCGACACGAATAGGTTGGTCCTAACTCCTATTGTGTATCTGACATTTCTAAATTATTATTTTGTTTTTTTTTTAGCCTTGAACCCTGGGTTGCCAGATCAGACATCAAGCTTTAAATCTTGAAACTTTCATAAATCTATATAATCTGGCATAAGCTAAAACTATTGCCATAATATATAAAAAAATCTATATAATATAATCTACGTGTTTATAAGATAAATGATTTTTTCGAATTTTTAGTACTTACTTATTTAATAATAGTAAAAAGGTACAGATATAAATTTATATGCTGAAAGTAAAACACTTTCTTTAATACTTAGTAAGTTAATATGCAAGCACTGATTGATAACCAAAAAATAGTTACGTTCGCATACGCACACAAGCATTCGCATATTTATTTCGTTTGCTTGCCACCAATATTTTTGATGGCTTGGTTGTGTGTAACTTTGTATATTATGTTGACGACTTAATAACCAACATTTTTAATAATAAAGTTGGTGGTTTTTTTAATGTAATATGTCAATTACTTTAAAAATGAAAATAAAGTTTCTTCACCAAGCTATTTTATTAAGCAAAATTAAATTATGTTTTCTAAATCTCAAAGAAAATCTACAACTATTAATAAATCTTTAATTTTTAACCGAAAGCAAGTTCATTTGAGTTCATTGAACTTTAACAGACCACTAATATCAGTATTTAGCAAATATTTTATATCTGTGGTTACTCTCATGTTATGATATTATGTACTCTTCTTGATACAAGCTTTGACTTCTGTCTGTAGTTATGTACGATTATAGACTCAATATTAATGTAGACTAACTATGCAGTCTGTGTGATTGCTTTTTAAATCATAGTGCGTTTTCCAATTACCGCACTAGAGCGCATTTTGCGGCATAATGCTCAACGTTGAGTGTTCCAACTACAGCAACGCTTCGCACAATTGAGCACTCTTAAAATGAATGCTCTCGCAAACAATACCAACACAGTGACAGAAAATTGACCAGTATTTTTCTTTAAGTTGGCATTTATCGAAATTTTCGTTAGTAAATATTATTTATTGTTGAAAAATTTGTAAGGCTTTCGTTTCGTCGTAGATTTTGAAAATAATTAAAGTTATTTCAAACTGCTTAAAAAATAAATATTAGTATGGATGAAGGTATAAATAGTTACTTTTTTTATATTCCACATTTAAAATATGAATACAATTTTATTTTAAAATTCGGATCTGTAAACAAATTTACTTTACAGGATTATACTTTAGAAAAAATTGCAATGGTTTTGAAAAAGTATATATTTTTTTAGAAATCATTAAAAAATATTACTCAAAACGTAAATGATGTAAACTTCTTCCATGAAACTAAATATTTTACTGTTAATTTAGCTTGTTAAAACTTTATATTCTTTAAAGGTTTTCTCTTATTTCAGTAAAAAAAATTTAATGAAATAATTTGATTATTAAATTAAGCGTAAAAAGTTTTCAACCAATTATTATTGTTTACCACATTATTTATACATTAATGAGGTTGCTAACTCTATTCAGACCATTTTTTTGTCAACACTGACTTAGCGCACTCTGCTGATGCATTTGAAAACTAATTCACGTTCCAATTAAGCTTCAGCATTATGCGGCATTGTGCGGCACTGAGTCGAAAAATGCTCTGTAATTGGAAAACGCACTGAGTTACCCGGTGTTTTTGCGCTGAACTAAAGTTAAAATGTATTAGAGTCTGACAAGTGAGTTGTGGCACAAGTCTCTGTCTCTTTTAAGGCAAATTTAAAATATTTCAGCTGTTAACCCTGCATATAGTCTGAAAAAACAATTTTGATACTTTTGCTAAATGATGATTTGTTTAATAAGTTCAGAGTTTCCAAAGAATTTAGTCTAAAAATAAATATAAGCAAAATGAAAACATTAACTACTTACATCAAATTTATCACCAACATTAACATATACACCACTACACCGAAAACAGGAATAATAAAGATACAACTTAAAAATATTTATTCATTCGGAACAATGATCAAAATCTGTTTCAAGAAATTCGATGCGTTCGAATGATTCATCGTCACGGACATGGATGCGGAATGGTTTAAGTTCGTCTGCTGTTATTCTATGTTTTACTTTGTATGTATTTTCACCACATGATCAGGCCATTTTTTCTCAGTCTCAGAGCAGATATTTCAAACTTTTTAATTAGAAGTGATATTTAATTTTTATTGATTTTAAAGTCAAAACCATTTTTAACAATACTTCCCTCAATGTTTCTCGAGATCCAGTGAATCTACTGGATCCTATGCTAACAAAGTGCTTATTGTTGGAACTTGTTTCTTAACGCAGTAAAATTAATTTATTTTATTACGAATTGCCGATATGTCAAAATAAGTTTGAAACACTGGGCTGGCGAGGGCGTATTTTTCCTAGCGTGTTCCACACATCTTGGTTTATGGAACCTTCCTTTTTTATCCTCCCCATTGTGTTGAGACCAACTTCTGTAATAATACCAATAATTGGGTTAAATGGCATATTATTATCACTTACAAATTACAATAGAATAAATATAATGAAATACAACCTGTCAGTTTAGATAAATGTACCTAATAACTAGATTCAGAGGTAATCAGATCTTTTTTCTCAACATCTTTGAGTTCTTCATCAGACATACCATAAAAGAATAAATAAATAATGTTTGTGTTGAAGCATAATAACTCGTTTGTACATACTAGAACAAAGGTAAAATTATGTTGTGCATACAAAAGTTTTTTTATTTTTTTAAATCTAGGACGAGTATCAAAATACTTGGGCTGTACTTACTTGCAGCTGAAGTAATTTCGTCAAAAAATATGTTTTTCCCTCGAAGTGCTGATTTATATCATCATTTCTCTGTTTATACTTGCTTATCATTGTATACAGCAAGCTCCGGGCACTGCTTTTCATGGGTTTCGACATTTTTTTCGCACAAAAACTTACAATAATCATAACAAGAGGTTATAATGACATTTAGTTTGACAGGCAGGTTGCCATATGAAGAATTCAAAATAAATCGCGTCCCACGGCTCGCTTGTCAGCCTCTAGCTTCAGTTATTAGGCTTAGTTCATATGGCCGCGCGGTACAAAATCAATATAAACGGTAATTATCGTCTACATTACCGCGCGGTACCGCACGCCAACGCGCGGCGCGCTCCCGATCCGCGCGCAAGATCTTGTACCGCGCGGCCGCGCGCGGCACTAGTTTTCGTGTAACCTCAAGTCGGGATACAAAGTGACAAACAGGCTGGAAGAAAGTCTGTCACTTAAAATTGGGATGCACCCAGTATCGTCTATGTCATCTTCTGCGACGTCTCAGTCTTCTATATAAAATCCATAAGCAAATTGCCTCCTCCACGTCCATTGTCAATCAATGTTGAAGCCACACTGGCGCGCGTCCGTCATGTGAATGCTCCAAGTTCCAACCGCGTGGCGACGCGCGGCTACGCGCGGTCATCTGAACTTAGCCTTATGTTATATTTATATCACATGAAGAATATTATAATAATTGTTCATTTACGAAGATACCATTTTGTTTTTACGTATATTTGTATAGTTGTATAATGCAATGGACTTATACAACTGTAAACATTATTAGGAGTTTATTTTTTGATAACTGGCCGTTATTCATATTTTTGTCGTGAGGAATGGTACAGCTAAAAGTAGGTACGAAACAACATGTAAATAGTAAGTTAATGTTTAAGTTTTAGATTTTTTTAATGGTATTAATATGTTTTAAAATCGCGGTCAGTTGGAGGGTAAGACTAAACTAGGCTTCAAAGTGCTTAGTATGGCGAAACGGTACTTCACTTCGGGTCACCGCTTGCATCTGTATAAAGCGCAAATTTGGCCCAACATGGAGTAATGTTCTCACCCCTTTGGCGGGAGCTTACCAGCTTCTTCCGATCGGTTGATCCTTTGGCTTTGAGTAGAGATAATGTTATCGTCAGCATCTTCTACCGCATTTTTCATGGGGAGTGCTCTGAAGAATTGTTCCGACTAATGGCTGCGGCTGAAGTCGAGAATGCAAAATTACCCTATCCATCGCCTGGCGTTCTACAACACAGCGCTTTTCTATTTATTTCGTCAGGTATATAATTTTAAGGCAAGCGTGCCATGAGTGAAGAATGTTATGTATGGTAAAGAAGATTTGTGGAACCAGCTGCCCCTAGAGTTGAGTATTTCCGAACCGTCCGACGAATTAGGAGCCTTTAAGAAAAAAGCGTACCATTCCCTGAAAGGTCACACCCGCTAGCCTTCGTGGTTGCAGGTGTATATTGGCGGCGGTTATCACTTTATTCAAAGTGGGCCACTTTGCCCAGGCAAGGACTTGCCCATAGAAATATAAATATATTATAGAAAAAAAAACATGGAGTATAGCTAAAAGGCTATATTACATGTTATGTCACGTTGTATACTAAATAGACATAGACTCATTTCTGCATTAGTTTAAATTGTACTTTCAAAGTTAAAACAGTTGCAACGACACCTACGTTTTCCACCACCTTTGACCACCCAGCTTTTATCTATGGATGCCGTAATACATGAGATATGCTACCTTTTAAACCATTGGAGTTTCTAAAATTCATTATTATTACAATGAGAGAAACTTAAAAGCTAAGCGTACAATTTATTGACAAATTAAGAGGCCGGTAACGCACTTGTGACTTGTGAGCCATGTCCATGGGTGCTATCACTTAACATCAGATGAGCCCGTTTGTTATATGTTATATTTTATATATAAATCGCATTTCCTGAAAAGTTATGTCCCTTCAAAAAGTTAGTGGGAGCCTTTAAAACATTTTGTAAACTTGTGTAAATTACTAGCCGAACCTAAGATATACAGTATATACGATCATTTAAAAATTAGTTAAATATACAAT